ATTCCTGGCACCATACTAGAGCAGTACAGATGTACCCTCAGAGACCAGCAGACACAGGGTTTAACCAGGGGCAGAAACCAGAGCCTTGAACCACAGCCAGATGCATGGTCTGGTCTGTCCTGCACTGGTAGCAAGAGGGACCTCGAGCTCTCTGCCCCTGTGCATGCCCAGAGCAGCAGCAGCAGGTCACCTTATAGACTCTGAAAAAGTGATGCACACAATTAAACTCTGCACCACACATGGTCTGTAGCCCACTGGAGGTGGACGCTGATGACACCCTCCACCTCCTCTCATAGTGATGGGTGGATCAGGGCAGCACTTCTCAGCCCTGAGACAAAGGCAAAATCTTTTACCTTTAATCTCATAGGAGGACAGAAACGTCTGTCAGTGCTAAGCCTCTGTGACGGAGTCACCTGTATGTTTCAAGAGGGTGACAGAGAACACTTGACCTTGGAGACATGGGAGGAGGGCGCAAGAGATTTCCCTTGCTTCAGCGTATGTCTTCCATGCCACGCAATGCCCATCCTTGCCTTTCAGGACCTCCCGTAGGGAGCTGAACCCCAATGGCTGGGGAAGGGAGTGAAGAGTGAGGACTCTTGGGTTGTCATCCTGCCTCCTGCAGTGAAGACCTGGGGAGGTAACACACTCTGTGCCTCAGCTTTCCTGTGTGTAATTTGGGGGCGATATCCCAAATTTGGGGGAAGGCTGCAAAACAGCAGCAGATAAAAGGAGCTGCCGTATTATACCTTATTGCTGGATTCCACGGCACATGGACTCTTCAAGCCTGACTCTACAGTAGATATGAGAACGGACTCCCTGGGACATGGCCACGGGGACATCATCAGACCTCACTGGACAGGGCTCTTGGGGCAATCGTGGCATGGACGGATGAGGGCTAGAACCAACTCGGAAGACAAGGTGGGGAGAGAGGAGCAACGGCTGGTTGTGACTGCGTCAGCGGTGCTGAGAACAATCCAGGAAGTGGCTTGTGTACACGAGGACTTTATTGCAGGCTCCTCTGTCCTGTCCAGAGGAGACAGGACTGTCTCCATAGTCTTTCCTATTTTTTCCCACGTTTGCCAGGGTGCAGAGGAGGCTGAGGGGGGAGGGAGGGTGACATCTTACAGCAGCAGCAGCTTGCGCAGCTCCTGGGAGGAGGTGACAGGCAGAGAGCAGGCAAAGTTTTCACAGAAATATGCAGTGGCTTTTCCATCTTTCTTTTCCAGGGAGGAGAGGAAGGGCAAATGGCGGTACAGGAACCCGGTGCTGTCTCCGTCCACCAGCATCAGCACCTGGGATACAGAGGGAGAGAGGGGGAGAAGGTCAGAGAAGCAGAGGCACGGAGAAAGCAGGGGCAGTTTTCAGAGCCTGCCTCATTGAGAACAGCCCTTTGGTTGCATCTCCCTCCTCTCTCCTGCAGCTACTGCAGAGACACCAGGTGCTCTAGGCCACCCACTGCTGCTGGAAGGACACAGCTCACTGGGGGCCCTTCCTCTCCTTTTCCTGCATCCTCTACCCCTGGCATCTCCTTCCCAACATGGCTTCCTACCTCTTCATCCTCTTTTCCTCCAGCCCTCCCAATGGGCACTTCTACCATAAGGCCCAGACACCCTGGATTGCCCCTCTTAGCAGTGAAAAGGGCTGTAGCCCTCCTGACCACAGCAAGTGCAGGTCATACTGCCTTCACTGGTCCCAGTCCCCTGCTCACAAATGTTGTCATTGTGGGTTCCATCCTGGAAAGCACTGGGCCCCACATCACACCCAGACCAGGATCAAACTCTTGCTGCGGTGGAGCCCCGCAGGACAGAAATCCAGCGACAGGCTCCCCATCAGACAGGCTTCTTTGCACGGGAGGTCGCACAAGCCCATCCTATTCCAGACACCCGGGCAGCCCTGCCCATCATGGTACCTGGTTACCCAGCAGCTGCGCTGCAATTCTCAGCCCTGCTGGCAACATCCCAGCAGCCTGCTACCTTACTTCTCTTAAGGGCGCTCAGGCTGCATTCCTCACCTGCACACCAGACCAGCTTCCTGAACGCGAGTTCAGAGCTGAGGACCCAACCAACCCGGGAGACCACTCTGCTCCGCTCAATCAGACAGCTGCAAAATTTTGAGAGGGGCCATTTCCTGACCACAGCTCAGGCCAAGAAACCAACGTCCTGAAAATGGCTTGAGTACCAGCTTCGTCTCTACAGACAGGGAGATCCTCCAGCCAACCAGACACAGGAACAAAGCAAGAGTGGACAAGGCAACACCGAGACTGTTAAGCAGCCTATCCACTTGCCACTGGTGGGTCGTGGCTCACACGGCACCTGGGGAATCTCCAGGCCCCAACACTGACCAAGCGCATCCCCTCCTGCATGCTCCCCTGGAGCTTGCGTGCAGCCAGAAGCCCTGTGCTCTGGATGGGGTATGATGACAGGGGAGTCAAATGGGGCTCACTTTCCCAAGCCAGACTCCAGCATCACCAGTATGCTCTGCCCAGCCTGGTCAGTATTACAGGCAGCGGTGTTGTCTGCTCCCTGCCTGGAGCTGTAACTCCACCTGCTGTCCATGTGCTTTACCGAGCTCCCTGCCAGGTCTGCTCAGCCATTCCTCCTCTCAGCCTCCTGCCCGCAGCCGAATCTCACTGCCCACACATTCCTCCAGCCCCAAAGTCAGTCCAACAACTCAACCTCATCCTAAAGCCTCCCTTCCATTCCCTCTTGTGCCCTTCTGACCCCCCAGTGGCTTTGTGCTGCATCTCTCCGAGCACTCCTTCCACCACCCCATCCCCTGCCCTGCTGCTTCCACCCTCCCCTGGCTAGCCCCAGCCCATCCTGTCCATCCAGACAGGTGTCCGATCCTCCGATTACCACCCTCATGTAAATGCAGTTAAACCTGAAAGACCATTTCCGTGATGGGAGGGAGCAACAAAGGCTCAGAGCTCCGACTGCGAAGTGCCTGAGTTGCCCCCTGTTAGAAACACTTAGCAGGGGAGAGCAACAAAGAAATGTGGTGCTAATTAATTTTTTAATCAACAGACTGGTTGTTATTAGCTTCTCCAGGGCCAGGGCATTAATGATGAAAGCACTGGGTGGAGCACAGCAGCGAAAACCCAGATCCATTCAGCTTTTGTTTGGATCAGGAAGCAGAATCTCAATGGCCTTAGTTTGAAGGGTGAGATGCAAGAAGACAAGTGAAATGTATGGGGTTGTGCCAGGGATGTTCGGCTGGCTGGAGCGGTCCTGTCATCACTGATCGCACGGGAAGAGGAGAGGGAAACGGGAGGGAAGGAGCAGGGGAAGGAGAGAGGAGCTGAAGTTGATGAGTGTCGCCTTGTCCGTCAAAAAGGATGACAAGGGAGCAAGTGCGAAGCGTGCGAGGTCGGGGAGGTAACAGAGCAGGGAGGAAGCCAGCATGTCCCCCACACAGTGACAGGCCAGGGCTCCCCATCAGCCATCTGGGGATGAGCTGGCAGCCTGAGCCCCTTCCCAAGGTCTTCATGTCAGCTCGAGTAGGAAGGATAAAGGGCAGTCTGGGAAACACCGCTGCCCTCCTCAAGCCAGCATCAGCAGAGGATGATCAGCACCCCTCCCCAGCATGCAGCATGCCCCTGCTTCCCAGTCCACAGCTTACACACGCAAGTTGGGGCAAGAAACATGCTGCAGCCAGGGGCTGAGGCCATTTCTCTATCCCCGCTCCACGCGCACATGCACGGCCTCCCTCAACACTGACACACTGCACAGATCGCACCACCACCCCTGAGTACGCACACATGCACACTGTATGGATTGCCCCAATGCCTGAATGCACACACACAGGCTGCACAGATCACACCACCTGAATGTGAACACACACAGAACCCAAATCACACCAATATCCCTGAATGCACACATAGGCGCACACATTGCACAGATCACACGAACACCCCTAAGCGCGCGCGCGCGCGCACACACACACTTACCAGCACTGCACATCTCCCACCCACACACAGCAACCACCACACACGGACACCAAGTGTGTGCACACCCAGCACATCCTGCCCCACAGCCACCACAGCACAGCCCCCTGCCCTCTGCCCCAAGCATGTATACACTCAGCAGCACCGCACGCTTCTTGCCCTGCAACAACACTGCTGCACAAGTCACCCCACAAGCTGCATTTACACTTGATGCACATCAGCTCCCAGCCTCTCCCACCACCCAACACACATCCCCTCGCACCCCAGAGCCAGGTGCAAAACCCACCTGCTGAGACACATGATGCAGCCCAACTGCACAGTGCTTCATCCCTGCACCGTGTCCCTGTCATTGCACCTGCCTCCAGGCCCAGGTGATGCCTCGTGAACGCCATGGCCTACCAGTGCCCCTCACTGAGAGGCCTCAGCCTCCTCATCTGGACCCAGCTAGCTCTCCTACTACTGCCTGCTCTCTGACACAGCTACCAAGCCCCATGCGCCTTCCTTCGGCCTCTCCCAACACCACTCCCAGCCAGTGCACAGCCCCAGCCCCTCGTTTTTGGGGGAGGCTTCCTCTTCACACAGCAGCCACTGCTGCCCTTTCACAACCCCTCCCTAACCCAGGCCTCCCTCCCATTGCTCTGCTCCCATCTAGGTCATAGGGGTGGGAAGCCTCCCTCAGACCCAGCTGGAAGCCACCTGCACCCTCCCCTGGCTGCCCGGGTCACCTCCCATGCCTCTGCTCCCTCCTCTGCCACCCCCTCTCTCACCGGCTTTGTCTGGAATTAATTCTAGGAGTGATTAATTACCAATTCACAGCCAGTCTGAAATTCATTATTCATTTTCTTGCAGCCTCCCAAAGGTGCTCTCGCTGGGGCCAGGATAAAGAAGAGCCGGCACACTAGCTCTGTGGCTGAGGAGATAATGGAGCCCTTCCTAATTACCCTAAAGACCATTAGCAGGCCAGGGAAGTAACCCTGGAGCAGGCTCAGGCCCATGCCGCATTCAGAGTGACACAGGTGCCGCGGTCAGGCCTGCCTCCCTCTGCCCCTGGCACCAGGTCCCCAGTCCACCACCCCCTCGCTGGCACCGAATAGCAGGGAGCTCAGGATGTGTTAACACCTCCTCATTCTCAGAGGACCAGTGGGATGCGGAGGGCAAGCCCTCATTTTGGCACTCAGCAAGAGCTGCCAAGCCCTGCCCACTGTGACAGCCAGAGATCTCAAGGTCTGCCTCCAACAGCACCACCAAAAAACCCACGTCCATGCCCTCCTTCCCTGCTGCGTGGAGGGGAGAGCCAGGGCAATAACGGCAGTGATGCAGATGCTCTATCTGAGCATCTCAAAGCATGTTACAGCAGTGGGTAACAGGTAACTGAGGTCTGGGGGGCAGTGATGGAGGCAGAGAGAGGGGAAGGGACTTGCCCACAGTCACAAAGCAATCAGCAGTAAGGTCAAGAGGTCTCCAACCACCAGAGAGACCACCACTAGGCTTCATTTTACAACTCCCCAGTGCTGCAGCTGATTTGGCAGAGACATGGAGGCAATGCTGGACCCCAGCAGCACAGCACCAGGGAGCACCCTGCTACCCAGATTTTATGCAGCAGTGCCACCCTTCAGATGAGGCAGATGGGTGGGCTTGGCCCTCCCGGTGCTTACAAACCCTGCCACACTTCACCAGTGACTTCACACACTCGTGGAATTTAAGCAACCGTTACAATCACGTGGATGAGAGAAGTTACCCTGCATCAAACCCAACAAGCTCAAGGCAGAAAGAGCTGGTTGCAGAAAGAGTCCCCACTGCCAAGACTCTGCATTCAACCACATCCTTTGGCAAACTGCTATACTGGCTAACTATCCTCACCCCAGCTTTGCAGTTCAAGCAACGAGGAGTTGGCTTTCCTGCCTCCGTGAAAATTCCAACACAGGTCACTGAATCATAGAAAACGAGGGTTGGAAGGGACCTCAGGAGGTCACATCTAGTCCAACCCCCTGCTCAAAGCAGGACCGTCCCCAACTAGATCAACACAGCCAGGGTTTTGTTAAGCCGGGTCTTAAAAATCGCCAAGGATGGAGATTGCACCACCTCTCTAGGTCAACGGTTCCTAACCTTTTTAGACCATGGATGAGCAAACCACAGACCGGAAGTGACCGCGGACCAGGAAACTGCGGACCAGCGTACTGCAGACCAGCAGCCAACCCTTTTTTATAAGGAGTACTCAGTATAAAAAAAAGGGTTGGCTGCCGGTCCGCAGTACGCCGGTCACTTCCAGACTTCCAGTCCGGTAGCCAACCCTCCTGTGGAACAGCAGCCAACCCTTCGCGGCCCGAGGGTTGGGAACCTCTGCTCTAG